TATATAGGTCTATATATATCAAAACAGGGTATTAAAGTCTATAAAAACTATTAATATAATTCAATTCAATACTTTATTTATTCATCGGCTGTTATACTTAGCATAAAAAAAGGTCTATACTTGTAAAATTATTAACATGGGAATGATCGACGACGATGCAGTGAGTTTCCGTTAGAGTGGAGCAGAGAATTAAATATTAATTGAAACAGACGTTTATAAAAACTCAAGGAACAAAAAGCACCAATTATCGAAAATATAAAATGAAGAATAGAAATTATTTGATAAATATATTTATAGGCTTAATTTTTCCAAAGTAGTGTTTCTTAATCACCAATAATCAGTAATTAATCATCCTGGGTTCAAGTCCTGCATATGAGGCCTAGTTTATGTAGAGCGTAGAGCATCATGTATACGTACTGTGAAAGAGATTGCTCCGTGATTGTCTACTTGCAATGTTTGATCTATATGCATATAAAAAAATAAAATAAAATGAACAATATATACTTACCGCTATCGCCATCTCTATATTTGCCAACTAAGTCTCCCCAAGGTAGGGATGCTACTTCAAGAACGAGAATTGTTGATATGAACAACGTCAGGCTGTGCATCCCTATTGGGTAATAATTAATATTGATAGATATATATATTTTTTAAATTAAATGCGTGCCTCGTAAAATTTAACCATAACTTGAGTTTTTTTTTTTTTCATTTTATGTTTTTAAAAACAATAGGCCTATGTTGTTACAACATTTGTCTATGGTTTAAATTACGTGGTATGTATTATAATATTTTTGTTACAGAAATCAAACATGTGATTGAGTGTGAGAAAATATATAATATGAGATGGCGTATGAAGATGCTGATGACGATAATAGAAATAATAAAAAAAAATACAAATAAAAGATAATAAAAATTATTGTAAAGTAATAATCATAATATTGATAAATGCAATAATTATTATGATAAATATAATAAAAATCAATGTATATTAATAATAATAATAACAAAATGATAATAAAATATTAATGGTAATAATAATAGTAATAATAATAATAATAAATAAGTGAAGAAGTAATAGTAACAATAATAATAAATATTATTAAAGTAACAATTATTAGTTTTTAATGTATAAAATAAAACTATTTTGTAATTCATGTGTCTAAAATCAAGTCGTTTCCCTAAAGATTTACAAAGGCAATGTAATCTTGCTTAAATGCCAACGGCACCATTTTTATCATAACAGGATACAACTTATTACTTCACCTTTACAATAATACTGTACAATACAAAAGCAAAAAACAAAAAACAAAAAGGAAGTCGGAGGCAGGATAGTGTGCAGGGAAATGAAATTCAATTTTAATTAAAAAAATAAAGACATGATGTGGGTAGGCCTACATAACCAAAATACTCAAAACCACTTTGACAGAAGGTAGAAGGGTAACTGTAATGGATATATTGGGAGAGACCCACACACAGCTTCACAGTGGTTGGGACTGAAGTTTGAACTACATTCTACAGTAGATGCATCGAAATTCACCTAAAATGCTTTTCAAAGTGTCCAAATTGGGGTGGAGGTGGGTGGTGTGTAGGTTTTTTTTTCTTTCTTTTAATCAATATCATTTCCTGAATTAAATGATACTTACAATTTAAATACAGAACAGTAATATAAAATCATCGAAGGAAAGTAATATAAAAACCTCAAAGGATTATTCATTAATTACAGTAATACACAAACATCACAGATTAAAGGCCAGCTCCGGGCAAACATTTTCTATTGATTATATGTTATAGTTATTATCAATATATTGATTCACCTATGTTTCAGGATTTTTCTGAATTTTGTTTTGCTACATGAATTTTTTTTTAAAATAAGTACTTTTTTGAAAGTGGGGGTATAGGTAAACTTGCCCAGCAAAATTCCTATTTTTTTGCACACAAATGACCTTAAGAGCAGGCATTTTGAAAAATTCATTACAAATAAACAATAGGGCAAAAAAATTACACTAAATGACTAAACTGGGGAAAATTTTGTCGAACTTTTCGTTTCTGGTGTTTTTATTTTACGTCAAGTACGTATTTCTGAGCAATTATCATTTATTCCCACCGTACCCACTTGATTTTTTTTTAATTTCCGAGTCAATCGCTCTGAGCTTTGCGCATGCGCTAAATTGGCAATCCACTGCTCTGCTGCTCCCTCGCTCGTGTAAAAAAAATGCGAGCGAGAAGATGACAAGTACGATGAATAAAAAAAAAACTAAAGACAGGAGTAGGCCTATTTTGCTTGAGTAGTAATGTTGAAAAGATAGACGGGATGGATTTATCGATAACAGTCTAGCTATGGATGCCTTTGAGCCAGAGGTGAGGCCTAGGCCCTATATCGTTGGAAAATCGTCGACAGGGAAGGTACCTATGCCAGCCAGCCCAGTGGGGTTCATTCCCAGCCCGGCTAGGAGGATGGACGAGTTGAGACGATTGGGTCGGTTGTCGTTGTTATGTGGTATCATTTGCTACATAAGAATTGAAGGAAAAATGGCAGACCACAGTTTTTTGACAATGATATATTCAAGAAACTGTGCCTTGATAATAGGATGTTATCAAACTCGTCTATGAATCGAAAAAGGGAAATTCTCGGAGAATAAACGAGGCAACGGCAGGCCTTACATTATAAAGTAGTAATATTTACATACAGGGCGGCACCTGAGCTGGTTATTTTTATACTAGTCCTAGCCTAGGGAGGGCCTTAAAACCTTCTTGGCCTAGATTTTTGTTTTATATACAAGTTATTCCATAAACTACTCTCTCCTGTCATTTATTTTTTGTAGTTTTATCAATTGTATTATTGATTCTGTTTTCAATTATGTTTAATATACACCATCTTGACCGACGCGTTTTACAGATTAGTGTGGTGAAGTCCACAGCAGCTCGATGTCACGTTCTCGCGGTGTCGTTGGTTGACAGTTGGTGTGTTGTAATTTGTTTTCTCATCACGCTTGGAGTTTTCTAAAACATAGCTAGTGAAAAAAGTAGTACTGCTTGATTTTTGCGGTTCTAAGCGGATTTTTATATTCTCGTTTTCAGTCAAATTGGTGATTTTTTTTGTCGAGATTACTCACATGATATCTTATAATAATGTATTTGATCACATAGTGAAGAGAAAATGTATGCCCGGAGCTGGCCTTTAAAAAACATTAAAAATTGCATTTTTACAAATTATATGGTTAAATTTTATCTATATACAAATTGGCATACAAGGAAAAATTAATTGATATTTACAAAAGTGAGGCAAGTAGGCAAATATAAAAACATCAAAACATCGATCAAACGTAACACAAGCACAGGACATAAAAAAGGAGATAAAAAGTAACATAAAAATACATTAAAATTGGAAACATAAGAAGAACATATATGTAATAAAATCGATTATTTTAATTATTAATTATTGAATCATTATAACCGTATCATTATTTAAATTAATATTATTAACATTAAATATAAAAATTCAATCATCCAAACAAAGCACACAAAAATAAATTTCAATTAAAATTACATTAAAATTGGGAAAGAAAAACGCGACATGAAAAAGTGGTCAACAATAGAGAAAAAGAAAAAAAAAGGTTGTCATGCATTGTTTCATTGCTACTATTGTTATATTATTTTCATGTACAGTAGTAGTCATTACTATAATTATCATTAATTTTAATAAAATCCCGTCAATCAATCAATTTAATTAATGGTCAATATCATCAATAACAATCATAATTACTACCATTATCATAATGATAATAGCTACTATTACTATCATTATTACCACTAACACAACCATAATTATAATAGTTCTAATTATTATTGCATGCTTTGGAAGTTTGAACTTCTTTAATCTGTATAACATATGCAGACGTCTACTTGCTTTAGAAATAATTTCGTTGACATTACGATCCCATTTAAGGTTATCTTGTATCCACAGCCCTAACAGCTTTCTTTATCAATTTCAATTTGGGTATTACCAATTAACAAGAGTTCAGGTTGGCATTGGTTTTTTTGGAAGTTGAAAACCATAGTTTTACATTTGGAAGGGTTAAGTTTAAGGTTATTTGCATGAGACCATTCGTTTAATGCAAATACAGCACCTTGAATGGTAGATACACCAGACTTTTCACTACCTGTCCTATACACAAGTCATCTACATACTTCCATGTATTACATGATGAGTCAATCATTGCATCATTAATAAGAGCAAGGAAGATCAGGGGACCGAGCAGGGTACCCTGTGGGACCCCGCAGGTGAGATTAACACTATTAGGTAATGTAGATCTATAACGGACACACTGAGTTCTATTTGACAAGAAGCTTACAATCCAAGGTATAATTTCTGGTCTGCAGGCAAGAGTCACTAGTTTAGATACAGCATTTTCTTCCTCCATGGATACAGCAATTGTGTGATCAACACAATCAAAAGCTTTACTAAAATCAGTTAAGACTAACTTTCCAACAGATTTCTGATAATTACTATCCTCAAAAAATGTATTCAATAGTTCAACCAGATAATGAGTTGTGGAAAATGTTTGCGACTACCATACTGATGGTTGTCGAAATTCTTCTCAATGTCAGATAACAGCCAGTGCTTTATAAAGCTGTCAGCCATCTTAGCAAACAGTTTTGCAAAGATGGACCGTCTCTGGGGTATGGAGGTCGCCTATAACCCCTGGCAGGATGGAGCGTCCTGTTAGATTACACAGGTTTTAAGATTTAAGAGCTTCTTTTATTAGAATTTAAACAACATTAGTAGTACTATTGTTGTTGCTATTGATATTAGTAATAATAATAATAATAATAATAATAATAATAATTATTATTATTATTATTACTATTATTATTACTATTATTATTATTGATATCATTTTTACCGTTACTCTATTATAACAAAAACGGCAATTTGTATCCAATTTCATTTTCGAAATAAGATTTTAAATTTATTTATTTTTTTACCATATTATTAAGAATACTTTTTACTTATTAATATGACAAAATAACACAATACACGAGGTACATTAAAAGAAATAAAATGTAAAAAGGCATATAGTGTGTTATTATTTTGTTATTACCCTTTCAAAAATACATATTTTCTTAATTTTTTCCCTTTTTTTTATAATTGAAGAAAGCAAATAACCTGTTTAATATACAACGGCTACAACTTTAAATTAGCACTATCGTCAATATTACCTGTTTAAAATGTAATAATGACACATTGATCCCCTCAAAAAAAAAAAAAAAAAGGAAAAAAAAAAATCACAGTGAAATATTAGTCGGAAGACATATTTTTTTCATTGTTAGAATACGTCATCTTTAATCCTAGTGATCATAAATAATTAATCTTAATCTTGTAATTATTTTCAATTTCTTTTATTAAAGAATAAATTTAGGTAATAAATTAGAATGGAAGAGTAAAACAATCATTACTTACCGATTGGTTTTGTTCCACTCCAGAATGACAGTTGTTTTTTTAATTCGAGTGCGTTTGAAAGTAACTTGAAGTAATATACATTTATACTGTGAACTTGGTCCCAGGATATGTCGTAAATGCTTCTTGCCTCAAGATATGTAGTAAAGGGCTTAAATATTTAATTATTCTAAAGCTCTGTCCAGATTATCAAATTTTCTTTGACAAACAACCGTTGTGTGCCAATATATGGTCATGATGTGCCTATATATGGTCATGATGTGATGTCATCATGACTAAATTTAGGCATGTCACATGTTTTTGTCAAACAAAATTTGATTGTCTGGACAGGGCATTAGTTAGCATCATAATCCGATGATTCCCATCTTATCTAAATCAAAAGTCGACTTTCATTTTGTCTGGATGTCAACAACACTGTGACACTCCTTTTCCTCCTGCGTAAAATCTAACTGCAGTGATACACTCTTGGGGAACTGGGTTTGCACTGGGACAAGAATAGAAATCCAAGGCCTTCTTTGTAGTGCCAGCAGTACGTCAATATTGATATTTTTAGTGCTTTTTATTTGTTTTCGCGGAATATCCAGGATATACCTAATCTACCAGAAATTTGCTCTATATTAGATTTTACTGTTTAAATTCTACTGGTTTGTGTGTATTTTATCTTCTATATTAATAGTGATATGTATTTTATGGAGTGGAATTGAATAGCTTAATGGTTAAGATGCTTGCCTTTTAATCCTGGGTCCTGGGTTCAATTTTTGTCATTTTTTTGTCTCACGAATATAAAACTACTCCACTCCGAAGCCTCGATATGAGACTCGTATTAAAGCATCGTTCCATCATGTGAAAATTGTATTTGCTGTTGGATGTGAAGGAAATAAATGATAAACATCATTATATTTTTGTTTAAATTTATTAGCCATATATTTAATGATGTTAATAGTAGTGTTACACATCATTGCCGGTGACAGTGACCATGCTGCTTCCGTGACATCTCTGGAATTTTTATGTGTTCCATCAACTGTACAGAGTGCACAATTCACAATTCAACAAACGATCTGTAATGTCTAGTATTACCTCACTATTTAAGGAGAAATTATTGATGCGTCTATTAAATGGTGGTGAAAAATGTTTACGTTTTAGTTTCAGATTGAAACATTATTCAAAGTAAGCATTTTATTTAAATTATTATTACATTTTCCCCTCAATACACATTTTATCTTTAATTGATTTGATTTTTATTATATATTTCCACAAGTTTATAATTATGTGCTTAGTATCGAAATTACTTCTATTAATAATATTATTATTACTATTTTTACAATCACAACTAATAAGTACTATTCGATTGGAGGTTTGTGAATATGCGGCTACTTTTGGATATGTAAGTTTTGTCTAGGCTTATATTTTACATTTCTAATTAAAAAAACAGATTAAATTGGTTGTTGGCCAGACATTAATTGTCGTGACGTAAACGTCTACGTTTTTTTTTAATAAGGAAAGGTTGCCTTTACGAGGTCATTATTTGAGGTTTTATAATCTCAAAGGATTATGGTAGCAATTTAGTTCGGTCATTCACGGTTATAAGTCCAGCTTATAAAATTATGTAGTAACGTTTCATCAGCGATTGTTTAGTCTACCTTAATAACAAACAAATTGAATTACACAGCAAAGTACAATAATGGGGTTGAAATGAGAGCGAGATTTAATAAAGATAAAAAGAATAAGGGCACAGGTCAATACGCTGTGAATATAGTCGTATAAATATTGCGTACTATACAAAAATGTCTTCAATTAAAAATATATGCTAGTTATTATTATTTAATATAAAATTAGGAAACCTTGATTTATATTTGATACAAAACAATTTCAACAAAAATGCAATAAAACGTTATGCGGCAAAAGCTGAACAGTCAAAGAGTATGCCAGTACATTATGATGATTATTGAAACAATTCAAGATGGGTTTTTCTCAATAATAAGCCCATTGAGATTCTACTCGAGGTTTTACAGTATAGCAACTTCACAGTTTTCACGGTATATCCACAGCGTTCACAATGTTAGCGTAAGTTATCTTAACGTTTGTGTTGCCGGAAAGTACACGGAGACGCAAAAACATTCTGCTTCAAAAGCAACATAATTTTGATAATAGTTATTATTGTTACCTTTAAAAATTCATATTTTTATTTAATTAATAGGCCAACTGCATTTATTTTAAAGTTTATAGTTTCCATTATTTTGCTTTGGCCTACCATTTTTAATTGAAAGTATTTTTACATGTTTTAAATGTATTGAAACTGGAGTTGGAAGGGCACACCATATCCGGTGAAAGTAGTTTTTGTACCGCTTTTGCCACTCATCAACCCTCCTCTTTCTTTGTTTACTTGCAATTCTGTTGTGTTCTTTGTTGTATTTTAATGCGCTGAAATAAAAAATAATAATGAAGCGCCGAGAGAGGAAGTTAGCAAAATCCAATTAAATAATAGACAGGTGAGCTCGATTGAAAAACACATTATCAATAAAATCAAATAAAACTAGCACACAATTAATGTTATTAGTTGTATAGTCAGGAGACTGATCAGAACTCATCGTAAGCTTTACTAAATCATGTCTTAGGGGATGGCTATGGTAGAAAACGGGTTCGCAAGTATCTAGGGACCCATAACATATCAACAAAAAGAAAACATTCAGGCAGATTATAAGAGCAGATATTTAACCATAAAAAAGAGCAAACATCTTGTATCAGGAATGAAATATGATTTAGTCCTACTATTTAAAAGTTTGTAAAATTATAATATTCTGTTTTATTACAATAATACAAAACAGAATTTGCAAATATATGTAAAAAACAAAACAATTACAAAAATATAAATATATGGTAATCAAATATAAACCATAAAACCTCAATTCAACAATTATGACTTATTATTTTTCTACAACTCATGTATAATGCTCAACTCATGTAGGCTTGCATACATGTATATATGATTGTTTAATCAGTTTTTATTATTTTATTATACATTATAGTATTGATATTTGTAATTGTGTGTAAAATGCATAGGCCTATCTTTTTTTTTGTACGAGCGATTGTGACCACAAAAGTTTCCGTTGAGGACAAGTAAATTCTGTATTTGAATCTAAAAGCAATCGTTTAATGTAAATTCTCGCTCCCTGTACAGAGAATTCATTTAAACTCAAGGCCTCCTGTCCCTTGTAAGACAAATATATAACAAATTAAATGAGCAAGCTGCGAAAATGTGAAATGATTCCAAATTAATTTGCAGATGATTTAATGTAGATTTAGAATTTCATGTTATTATATACATGGAATTAAATTTACTTAATATAATACGATAATTGTTCAAAAAACGCATTCACAATGATTTTTCACTATTCTCTGAAAGCATACATTTGTCAACAGAAGGAAAAATGCCATGTTCTCCTCACTCATTGTTAACTTTATAGAAACAAACCAACACGTACATATTTATATAATTTCATAATTGCAGTCTATTTAAATCTATTCGTCTTTCGGTAATTCTGTCGTACCGATTTCAATAATTTCAACAACAATTTCCTCGTTTTCGAATGGAGAGCCAGTTGTTTCTTTTTCGATCGTCTCATCTACAACCTCAACTTCTACAGTTTCTTTTGAATGCACTTCTTCTTTAGGCCTACATCTTCCTTGATATGCGACCGTGAGATCTGAATTGAGACGTCATCTTTTTCGTCGAGCAGCACATTCAGTTGCGTATGTTCTTCCATCTGATCCGCATACTTTCGATGCCCGTGTTCCAGGCTCGCATTTTCTTGAACAGGTGTCACGGTGATCTAAAATCAGATATAATTGTATCACGATAACTAAATATCCAAGCATATAAACAAGGTTAAAAATCAAAATAATAGACCTATTATTGTTGTTCTAATTAAAAAAAAATATTCAAGTTGAAATACGCGGGTATGTACTTTAACTGGTAAAGAAGCCACGCTATCGAGATAGGCTTCTTTTCTTTCCAAAACTAAAGAGTTGGGGTGAGGTGGGGTGATTGTTGTTTTAATAAAAAAAAAATATTCGAGTTGAAATACGTGGGTAGACCTATATACTTAACTCGTAAAAAAAGCCACGCTATCGAGATTCTTTTCTTTCCACAACTAAATAGTTGGGGTGAGGGGGGGTGGGGATGAGGGCTTCAATTCGAGATGTAATTTTTCTCAATATTAAGCCAATTTGGATTCTAATTGAGGTTTTACGGTATAGCAACTTATTCTCAGCGTTCACAATGTTAACGTAAGTTGTGTTAACGTTTGTGTTTGCCGGAAAGTACATATTGTAGACGCAAAAACAGTCTGCTTTAAAAGCAACGGAATGTTGTAACAGGTAATGGTAGCAACTTTGGACTCTATGATATTAGGCCTAAGATACAAGACGAAATACTCTATAGTAAGGTCATGCAAATTAAAGGTGAGAAAACATTAAGAGTGAGAAAATTAAGGGTGAGAAATGTAAAATATATTCACGAAACCTATGTAGAGAAAAGTAGAGTTCCTATATAGAGAGAGTTGCGACATGAGCGGTTCAGGTCACGTGACTACTGGCCGCCCTCTATCTGCCATCTTGGTGCCCATTGATCAAGTCAGTGGTGCGTAGCCAACAAAAATAAGATAAGCGTCGAGACAAAATTATTGAACTCATGTTACTTAAAAATCCATAACTCCGTAACGAAGAATCGTATCACATTATTTTTTTTTCTGGAAATGTTCTTAAAAGACTATTCTACACCATTATGTAAGTTTTAAGAAATGAACAAAATGTTTCGACCTCTGCCACAAGATGTGAATAAAGAGCCTATCTAAATAGTGTATTAAAATAGGCCTCTGCAGTACAGTACGTAGGTAGGTAGGTAGTACTAGAATGGGCCTAGCAAGCTATAAAAGTAGCGTAGTACTTTTTCAGTTATCGTATGACTTACGGATTTCTCTTATATACTACTAGTTATTTTGCAGAGACTCTAGCTGAGGCGTTCCACTATGCAATTTTGGTCAAGCAAAAACTGCATGTAATATAATAATTAATTCAGCATATTGAGAATCAATTTCTTTTGGAATTTTGTTATAAATTTCAAACACATGTTGATTACAGATATTTATTTATTATTTATTTTTTTCAATTGTCTATTAGTTTTGCAATCACCACACTGTAGTATAGGCTTTGTGGTCACTCACGCATGCAAGGCACCAAGATGGCTACCCTGCAGCGTCTCATGCCGCAACTCTCTCTATAAGGAATTCTAGAGAAAAAAGCCATGCAATACACCCTCAATATTCCAGAATGATTTTATTAAAATGTAATGTATGTATATATTATGTTCAAGGAATTATAATGTCATTTAATTTAATGATAATAATGATTGTGGTAATAGTGTTGTTTGTTGAAATTAATATATAAATAATTACACTTTTTTTAAATGTTACAATTTTAATGTTTTAATTGAGGTTTTGATAATAAAAATAAAAATGTATGTAGGATTGTTTAATCTTAACGTTTGTTATGCATTATAGTATTGATATTATAAGTGTGTGTGAACTGTATATTTTCAGATAGGATAATAATTATTGTTACTTTTACAATTCATATTTTTATTTAATTAATAGGCCAACTGCATTTATTTTAAAGTTTATAGTTTCCATTATTTTGCTTTGGCCTACCATTTTTAATTGAAAGTATTTTTACATGTTTTAAATGTATTGAAACTGGAGTTGGAGGGGCACACCATATCCGGTGAAAGTAGTTTTTGTACCGCTTTTGCCACTCATCAACCCTCCTCTTTCTTTGTTTACTTGCAATTCGGTTGTGTTCTTTGTTGTATTTTAATGCGCTGAAAGAAAATATAATAATGAAGCGCCGAGAGAGAAAGTTAGCAAAATCCAATTAAATAATAGACGGGTGAGCTCGATTGAAAACACATTATCAATAAAATCAAAATAAAACTAGCACACAATTAATGTTAGGATTTCGAACAAATTGTGTTCAATTAAAAAGGCCCACATAACTCAACATTAGTTGTATAGTCAGGAGACTGATCAGAACTCATCGTAAGCTTTACTAAATCATGTCTTATGGGATGGCTATGGTAAAACACGGGTTTGCAAGTATTTAGAGACCCATAACATATCAACAAAGAAAACATTCAGGCAGAATATAAGAAGAGCAGATATTTACCCATAAAGAAAAAGAGCGAACATCTCTTGTATCAGGAATGAAATATTATCGTCCTACTGTTTAAGAGTTTGTAAAATTATAATATTCTGTTTTATTACAATAATACAAAACAGAATTTGCAAATATATGTGAAAAACAAAACAATTACAAAAATATAAATATAAATATGGTAATCCAATATAAACCATAAAACCTCACTTCAACAATTATGACTTATTACTTTTCTACAACTCATGTATAATGTTCAACACATTTAGGCCTGCATACATGTATATATGATTGTTTAACCAGTTTTTATTTGTTATACATTATAGTATTGATATTTATAATTGTGTGTAAAATGCATAGGCCTATTTGTTTTTTGATATGAGCGATTGTGTCCACATAATTTTCTGTGAGAACAAGTAAATTCTGTATTTGAATCTAAAAGCAATCGTTTAATGTGAAATTCTCTCTCCCTGTACAAGGCCTCCTGTCCCTTGTAAGACAAAATATATAACAAAATAAATGAGCAAACTGCGAAAATTTGAAAGTTTTTGAATTAATTTGTAGTTGATTTAATGTAGAGTCAGAATTTCATGTTATTATATACATGGAATTAAATTTACTTAAAATAATACGATAACTGTTCAATAAAACGCATTCACCATGTTTTTTTTTTACTATTCTCTGAAAGCATACATTTGTCAACAAAAGGAAAAATGCCATGTTCTCCTCATTCATTGTTAACTTTATAGAAACAAACCGACACGTACATATTTATATAATTTCATTAGTATAATTACGAAAACGATGCATTCTATTTAAATGTATTCGCCTTTCGGCAATTCTGTCGTACCGATTTCAATAATTTCAACAACAATTTCCTCGTTTTCGAATGGAGAGCCAGTTATTTCTTTTTCAATCCTCTCATCTACAACCTCAATTTCTACAGTTTCTTTTGAATGAACTTCTTCTTTAGGCCTACATCTTCCTTGATATGCGACCGTGAGATCTGAATCGAGACGGCATCTTCTTCGTCGAGCAGCACATTCTGTTGCGTATGTTCTTCCATCTGATCCGCATACTTTCGATGTCCGTGTGCCAGGCTCGCATTTTCTTGAACAGATATCACGGTGATCTAAAAACAGATACATTTGTATCACGATAACTAAATATCCAAGCATATAAACAAGGTTAAAAATCAAACTAATAGACCTATTATTGTTGTTCTAATTAAAAAAAATATTCAAGTTGAAATACGCGGGTACCTGGCGGCGACAACAACAACACTGTCTCTTATACACATCTAGATGTGTATAAGAGACAGGGGGGGGGGGGAGGGCTTCAATTCGAGATGTACATTTTCTCAATATTAAGCCCATTTGGATTCTATTCGAGGTTTAACGGTATAGCAACTTATCATCAGCGTTCACAATGTTAACGTTTGTGTTTGCCGGAAAGTACATATATTGTAGACGCAAAAACATTCTGCTTCAAAAGCAACGAAATGTTGTACACAGGTAATGGTAGTAACTTTGGACTCTATGATATTTTAAGATGCAAGACGAAATACTCTATAGTAAGGTCATGCAAATTAAGGTGAGAAAACATTAAGGGTGAGAAAATTAAGGGTGAGAAATGTAAAATATATTCACGAAGCCAAATAAGCCTATGTAGAGAAAAGCCATGCAATACGCCCTCAATATTCCAAAATGATTTTATTTAATGTATGTATATATTATGTTCAAGGAATTATAATGTCTTTTAATTTAATGATAATGATTGTGGTAATAGTGTTATGGTTGAAATCAATATTATAATGATTACACTTTTTTTTAATGTTACAATTTTAATGTTTTAATTGAGGTTTTGATAATAAATGAAATTGTATATAGGATTGTTTAATATTTTCATTTGTTATACATTATAGTATTGGTATTATAATTGTGTGTGAAATGTATATTTTCTGATAGGAGCGATTGTGCCCGTTAAAAGTTACAGTGAGGACAAATAAATTCTAAATCTGAATCTGAACCGAAAAGCAATCGTTTAATGTGAAATGTTTCCGGATGAAGTTGCAGTTGACTTAATGTAGTCAGAATTCTATGTTTACATGAAATTAAAACGCGTTCACCATGTTCTCTCACTATTCTCTGAAGGAATACATATGCCAACAGAAGTAAAAATACCATGTTCTCTTCACCCGTTATTAACTTTATAGGAACAAACCGACGCCTACATTTATATACTTTCATGATTTCATTTAGTACAATCACGAAAGGAATGCATTCTATTTAAATCTATTCGTCTTCCAGTAATTCAGTCGTACCGTTCTCAACAGTTTCTTCCTTAGTCCTACATCTTCCTTGATATGCGACTGTGAGATCTGAACCGAGACGGCATCTTCTTCGTCGAACAGCACATTCAGTTGTGTATGTTCTTCCATCTGATCCGCATACTTTTGATGTACGTGTTCCAGACTCGCATATTCTTGGACACATCTTAAGGTGATCTAAAGAGAGATATATTTGTATTATGATCACTCAATACCTGACACGATAAGAAGAAAAAGAAGCATATAAACAAGGTTATAAACAAAATTGTTTTAATTTAGAAAAAACAAATATTTTTGTTGAAATACGTGTACTATAGACACAGGTTCATAACATTAATATTATTAATTATAATAATAACAATAATAATATTAATATTATTAAAAATATTCATAATAATAACAATAATAATAATATTAATGATAATAGTAATAATAATAGTAATAATAATAATAATAATAATAATAATAATAATAATAATAAAAATAATAATAATAATAATAATAATAATATTATTATTATTCACATGTTTAAATATAAAGATGAATTAAAAATATTCCCAATAAGTTCCGAGAAAGTTAGTACATATAATACGCTGTACACCTTTACTGTAATTGCACTAATTTATATATTCATTATATAGATATTGTTTCTGCCTACGGTAATTTACGGAAGCCCGTTAGTGCCAGCAGTGAATTAAAATTTCAGATCCGTTAACTGGCGGCCGCCAGATAATTATCTGGCGGCCGCCACTTAATTATGGCTAAAAAATGGCTATATGATGCTATTATAAGCTATTACAAGCTAGTAGCTAAAATGACTAGCTATGCCTACTACGATGCTTATAAATGCTACCGTATTTAATGCTAAGACCAATCATGCGCTTTAATGGCCCGTTCTACATCGAGATAATGCTATACCGCAACCTGGGTACCCATAATTAAGTGGCGGCCGCCAGATAATAAGTGGCGGCCGCCAGATAATTATGTGGCGGCCGCCAGATAATTAAGTGGCGGCCGCCAGATAATTATCTGGCCAGTTAACGGATCTGAAATTTTAATTCACTGGTGGCACTAACGGACTTCCGTAGTAATTCGGTAAACTTATTCTTTAAATTTTCATCATATCCACATCCTATTTTGGATCGTGGCCAAAATTGAAACACTTTTTATATTAAAACATGACAAACTATCCTGGCAATTGTCATTTTTATCTATTGATCCATTTTGAAATATTTAGGTCTGGGACCTTTTGGCCCTCAAATGTACACCCGAATTTGGATCGTCATCAACACTTCATAATTTCTTCCTTGCACCTTGGTTAAGCTTTTCACGAAAGTTTCATTTTCATTCATATCAGTTGATTAGTTTTTGAAATATCTAGTCTGGGACGTTTCCCTCCTCATATCCACACCCTACTCCCAATGGTCACAAAAATCTAAGCATTTCTTCATCGAAACATAAAAAAAAAACAAAAAAAGATTCTAGGTAGTGTCATTTAGAGCCATTGATTATTTTAGAGATATCTAGGTCTGGGACCTTAGTATTTTAAATGACCCTCAAATGCACACCCGAATTTGGATCGTCACCAACACTTCATAAATTCTGTCTTGTAACTTGTTTAAAGTTTCACTAAATTTCATTCATATCAGCTGATTATTTTTTGAAATATCTGGGTTGGGACGTTTTCCCTTGAATGGTCTGAATGGTCTTCATATTTACATCCTACCCCGGATGGTCACCACAATTTAATCACCTCATCCTTGGGTCATACCTAACATTCCTTGTAACTTCCATTTAAAATCTGTGCAGCTGTTTGAGATATTTGAACACAAGAAACACGCATGACGTTAAAAATGTGAATGAACCTCAAGATCACCCCCGATTTCGGATCGTGACCAATACTTGGTAATTTCTTCCTTTTCTGGGTTAAACTTTCACGAAAGTGTCATTGATATCTGTTGATTGGTTTTGAATTATCTTGTTTAGGACGTTTTCTATTAAATCCCTTTAAATGGTTCTCAAATCCACACCCTACTCTGGACCGTCACCAAAATTTAATCATTTCTTCATTGGGTTATACCTAACACTCCTGCTATTTTCAATTATGTATGTGCAGCCGTTTTTGAGATATGTCGTACACAAAAACAAAACAAAAAAAACCAAAAAAAAAAAACCCACGAAAACACCAAACACACCCACACACACCCACACACACACGCAAACTTACACGACTGATAACATATCTCCTGGCGGCGACAACAACAACAACAAAAACAACCTAATATCTTACCAACGCATTTGCCGTCATAGAATTTTTTAAGATGAGGCAAATCCATTTTGCAGGATCGACGAAGAAGATGACACGTACTGTCATAATTTCTGTTGTCATTACCGCAAATTTTACCACTATCATCGGTTCCGTTGGGGCATTTATGAAGTATCGCTGTACAATCAGTCTGTTCATCTATTCCTTTAAGTATATAAAAATTATTAGGAAATTAATATTTAATAAACTGTACTAGAAAAAATGAAAGAAAAATAGTGTTTTTTTTTACTTTATGAATATAAGTATATGTCCACGAACAGTATGTCTTTATAAGTGTGATCACATAAAGTAGAAACTTATATCTTGACATTATAGATCAAATTTTCCCAGGGAACCCACCTTAGCAATTGACCTTATACCAGCCAACCAAGAGCCAGGTGTTGTAAGATTGCTTGTCAAAAATATCAGTCAGTTTTTAATCATTATATCAATTATTATTAGTGGTGAATTGCAGGGGTGGCACCAGTGGGGGGGGGGGTGCGAGGGCCTGTCGTGGAGAGCTGGCCCTACGTCTGGGAAGAAAAACTATGATAAAAAAACACTGTTGAGTTTTTTTCCTTTTAATTATTATTTTGATTTATGTCACAATGTATGGTTAATTAAACATCATTTACAGGCTGGAGGATACATGTGCGTCGATTCTTAAAAACTTATTGAAAGGCATATATGATTTTATTATATTTTTTTAAAATTTTAAAATCACACTAAAACGAAAACCTATTATTTTAATTGTCACTTTTTTAATTAATCAATTATGTCATTAATTTAACGAAAAAAAAACTAATTGACTAATAGACTAAGTGTGACAACCGAGCACTGAGAGGCTGCAGATGAATACGGAAGGAGAACAACGGCATGACTGGTATGAGAATTTTAAATCAAGCAGCATTGGAAATGAAAAAAAATTAAAGAAAAGTATTGAGAAATTGAGAAGATATCTAGTTAAAAAGTGTATAATACTGTGTTAATTGGCAAGTTTCAAGGCCCGTATATCCAGTGGGTGAGGTTGTTCACATTCCATTCCAAATTTTTGATTTTCTGAGATAAAAATAAAATCTTAAATTTTTACATGTTTACCAGTAACCTACTCAGTCTTTCGAGATTCGGAAAAAAATTCCAATTTATCGATTTTATTCACTTTGATTTTTCGGTTCTGGGACACCGTGTGGATGTACCGGTAATTTATATCATGGGAAGAGATCATACTCCAAACAAGTTTTTAGAAATATGAAATTATTATGAGAGCTACGCATTGTATCCACGTACTAAGCATTACAATTTAGGCACCGTCGGCCAATCACAGAAGACTATTATGCATATTTTTTTATCATTTCCCAGCTCGTGGGAGGCACAATGATGATAGTTTGGTTTTGGGAATTATTGAAAGAATTGTATTATTATTTTTCCTTTAAGAATCAGTTACTACTTAAAAGTTGTGGTCATGATATGAAGTTTAGACTAATGTTATCAACTAAGATTATTAGGTTAAAACGTTAAATTTATTGAAAATTGGATCTAACATGTGTATAATGATATTGATAAACAAAGAATTCTTTGTACTGTATTATCTTAAACATTTATAGAATTGACTTCATTATGTTGTGGTCATATTAGACTGTAATATTATTAAGGAAGACGTCTGTGCATGCATAAAAGAAAAACGTAATTTCCTAAAATGTGGATAGGCCTATATGAGATTGATAGTTCCTTATGAGTTAGGCCTAAGGAAATATAAATTCATATGGGACTGAAGCTACTTGACAAAGTGTTCTGTTTAGAAGTTAAAGAGTGGACTTCTTTATGTTGTCATGTTAGAACTGTAATATCGTTAAAGACCATTCAACAAACGCCATAAAACATATATCACAATGACGAATGCAGCAGCCCCATTATTATTATTATTATTATTATTATTATTATTATTATTATTATTATTATTATTATTATTATTATTATTCTTATTAATAATAACAATAATGATGATGATGATAATAATAATAATCCTCTTTGCAATAATAAGAAGTGATGTTAAAATTTAAAAGTCTAACGTAAAATTACACAAGAAAAACAAAGCTATAATCATATAGAAAATTATAAAGTTAAAACACAATAAAAGCAACTCGACGTCAGGGAAACTCGAACTGCTAAAAATATGTGAAATGATGTCAGTTTGATATGCAAATCATTAATATGGTTTTTGCTTGGACAATATTGTGTGGCTCTTTTAATAATTTTAGATTATAGTCAATGTTAGATGGGCATAGATGCCTAGTTCATCAAAGGGTCCAGTGAGCAAAATGGTCTTTTAGATGAGTACTTTACATTAGTTGCAGAATTATGAAAGTGTTACTTAAGTAATTTTAATTCATTCGTTAGGTCTGTTATACCTCCTTGTTATATCAACATCCAATCTGTTTTAATTATCGTGAACTTAACAGATAGGCTTATTTTTAAAGTAAACATAAAAGAAAGGGATTTATTTATGTTATACAACTTGTTTATTTTCTTGTGTATGTATTTACTTATGTTAGATATGAATAAACAAAACGATTTGTTTTTAGGCCTAAGATGTTGCATGACAGATGATCATGATGGATGATGATGAATGAATGACAGATGGATGAATCTTTCGCGTTAAACGCCTATCGTAAAGCAGACAGTGGTGGTGCCAGTGAACCAGTACTGTATGGGCATAATTTGCAAAGCGCAAGCTTCGCAGCATCGAGCCAAATAATTGAACAACTATTTAATATTGTATTTGCAGACTGACAGTAAATGTATCACTTCAATGTTTCAAATCAATCACCTGTTTTATTTTTGCATTCATATACGAGGTTCATAGGCCTCCCGAAACCATATACAGTAAAGTGAATTTTATCAATATCGAACATAACTGGTCCCTCATCATGATGCACATGGCAGCTAATCATTTAGGCTGAACATATTTGAAAGTAATGCATGCACAAAATCTCTTTTATAAGGATTATTTTGAATAAGTCATGAGATATTTAGCAAACTATCCTACGTTAATTGAATAAATATAGCTTGATTTTTCACTCTCATAATAAAAGAGAATACGTATAAAATGACCTTAAGAATGATGCTAATCCACAAGAGTAGTGTTGAATATTTCGTCGTATCAACAACACATCAGCAACTGAGACAGGAATTCTATAGGCAGGCAAGATCTTATATACGGTACTGTACTAATAAGCTAACATGTGTCGTAAAAGTATTTAGAGGAAAAAAAATCAGGCAATAAGGAAAGCGTCATTGAGCTCATTCTTACGGTTTATAGAGGGCTTAATGCGATTAACATTGTGCTTCGATCAGCACGCAATACGCAGTTCATCTTTGGGCGCCCTTCTGATAATAGTGACCAAAATATCGGGGTCTTCCACGTCAGGATGGGATTCACCGTAGTGCTCACCGAGCGCAGAATTGGTACTATGTCTACGTGCAGAAGCGAGATGTTCAATCACTCTAAAGTGAAGCGCCCTAAAAGTGGAGCCAACATATTCCTGGAACATGATAATGTTTTTCTTGTAGCAAACACATAATAATGTTTTTCTTGTAGCTTGGTTATTGAAATATCTGGTGTAGAGTTTTTGCCCCTTAAATCCCTTTAATTGGTGGTCCTCACATCCACATCTCACTTTAGATTGACACTAAATATTGGGAGACCATCCTTGATATAGGCCTATGGTCCATGTTTCGAAAGAATTTGGAAAAAGAACCAACCATTGAAGGTGAGCGAAGTGCCGGAATAACCCAGTGCAAAAAGATATGAAAAAAGTATGTAAGGAAAAAAAATATTTAAAATTTATTTAAAGCATATTTAGCCTATCCCGGTCCTTGGGTCAAGGAAGGAACGATGTAAGGTTAACAAAACTAAATAATGATAATGATAATAAAGCGGGTTTTTTTTAGACATTATTACCCAAATCATTGGAACGATGAATATAGGGGAAATAATTATCAATGCATTTTTTGGGTTGGAGGACACAAGCGACTTGCCCAGAGAATTTTCGAACCCCCGGCCTCAAGGTTGAGAGTCTAAAGCTTTGTCTACACTATCAAATTTCATCAAAAAAGCGTCACATAAAATGTGATGGAATATAGAGTTGAACATGTTCAACTTTATTTGATACAATTTGATGGTATGTGATATGACGTCATCGTACCCATATATGGGCACATCACATTTTTTTGTCACATAAAATTTGATAGTGTAGACAGAGCTTTAGCCACAACCAGTGCGCTAACCACTTCCACATGAATTGAACGATATACAATACAAGGCCTAGTCCGCCTGCCTTTGTTTTGGGACTTCATCTTCATATGGCTTACTTTTTGATAGGCCAGGTAAGGCAAGGCATTGCCACACATTTGGTTTGGGAAGGGGATTTCAAAGTAATCACATGCCGTGTTAGGCCAAATTTATGTTGTATTCTTCATTCACATTATTGATAATTATAATATTATTCAAATTTAACTGATAAGGTGAATTTATTTTATAATAAATTTATAATTACGATTACAATTGTCATCATTGTCATATTATAAGCTTGCTAATATGGATAATTTTTCATTACTGATGATGACATAATTAATGTCGAAATATTGAATCCCAACACGATGGCGTGTACTTCAATACTTGTATTATACTATGTATTATACTATCAAATTTCTCGCTATTACTATTGCAGCAACAGTTCGAATCTCACTAACGTCGAGGTAGTTGTGAACTTTTCTTTCATTGTTTGTTATTTTTTCTTATACTTCATAATTTGTTTAGTACTAGAAGTATTTTGGGTTTTGGTGTCTTTTGTTTTTTACTTAATACTCTTTAATGACTTTTTGTTGCAATTTCAACTTCATTATAGCAATGAGGAAAAGCTCTATGTTCTGTTGTACACACAGACATAGTAAGTCTAGTTATTATTCTACCTGCTGCGAACCATGTTGTTGACCCATTGCTGTGGCTTGTATGTAATAATGTCACCTACTAGAGGTAATGTTTTGATTGGTTAAACACTTTTGGTACTAGTGCATATAAGCTTGCTAATATGGATAATTTTTCATTCCTGATGATAACATAATTAATGTCGAAATATTGAATCCCAACACGATGGCGTGTATTTCAATACTTGGAGTATGTATTATACTTTCTAATAATTCACCTGTGTGCATGACTAATAATATCATACATAATGTGGCTATTGCTTGCCATAGCATAATAATTATAAAATATAATCCCATATACTGTGTATTAATTTTTTTTATGACAATAATGTATTCATATGTTTTCGTATAACATACAATGTAACTTACCGACACTAAATACAATAACACACATTGCAGATAAAAGAGTAATTTGATTCCAGATACTTGTCGCCATTACGTTGGAATCTGTGGAAATAGATATTGTAGACTTGGTTATATTTTTTGGTATTTTAAATTAGTAATTTTCGGTAACTGCTTCTTCTTCTTATCGTGTCCACACACATACATGCTAGATACTTCCATAGATGGACACAGTTTCTAGTACAATCATTGTATTCTACCAAGCTCGTCAGATGGCATGATGAAAATGATGATACAAGTTTGGTGGTGGTAGAGAATTAGCGTTATCCAAAGCCGCGACGAGGATGCTTCTACCATGACCTCTTGGTAAGCTTAAACTTATTATTTTTAGACAGATTATTTTATTATTATTTTATTTCTTTCCTTTATTTCTATTGTTTTTCTTCTTTTTTCTTTTTATGGTTGCAAAGATTGTATTCTATTCACAAATAATAGAGTTATGCATACTCTCCGTGTGACGCACCTAGGCCTATGTGATTCTATTACATGAGCTAATAAAATGTTGAATGAACGTTTGGGGTTCTTTTTTGAAATTGCTTTTTTTATGGCAGACAGTGTATTTAAAAAAAAACCAATAAAACTATCAATCAATTAAATTATGATGCATAGGGTGGGTGTATGTGTGCTTGTGTGTGTGTGTGTGTATGTGTTTGTGGAGGGGGCGGTGGAGAGTTTGAGGTGGTCATGAAAAGGTAAATTTTATTTAAAATTAAGCTAGAAGATAAAACATCAACAATCATACAAATATGAAGCATAATAACTCATATTATTGAAATTTAAAATAAAAATAAATCAAATAATCACCTGCTATTAATATTATGTTTATTAATGAATAAATTATAAATGTATTTACCTGGTATAAAGAAATGCAAATATCAAGAAGACGATAGAATGGATGCTTGTATGATATGACCAACGAGCAGCCTACGTGCTAGCCGAGTCGAATATGTGTTTGCCAAGTGATCGTATTACTTAAATATTATCTCATATGAATTTTTCTGCATCATTAGGCACAAGTGCATATTATTTCTATTTGATAATTTTAATATATTATACATACAGTGGCATGGAGCGACCTTTTCTGTGACCCTGGTTTGAGTTGATGAACTGCCAAAGACTTCCGACATTATTCTGTTGGTATCATAAGGTCTAAGAGTTCAAAACGGTGAAATTAAAATTACAGTAAATCAAAATGTAGTATAGTCGCTATACATATAGATTGATTAATTCTTCATTGCCAAAATGAGTGATATTAAACCTACCAAAAAAAAAATAAATAAAAAAAATAAACAAATAGATAAAAATAACAAAAAAAATGAAAATAAAAAGTACAAAGTAAGTAGGCCTAATACACGAAAAATATAATATTTAAGTAAACTATGAAGTAAAACAATAATAAAAAAGAAAACCATCTCTACGTCAGTGAGACTGTAATTGCTGTAGTGATAATAGTGAGAGAGATGTTGAGAGTTCTTACCAATTTTCCCTAAAGAACCCGACCCTGCGGAGGTAGTGTATTTTTTTTGTCTACCTTGAATAATATTATAGGCCTTAGTTGAGGGCGAAAATAAACGTAGCTATAGCTATTTTTAAACGCTTTGGCAAACGTCAAAATGTCAAATTAA